CTGTGCAAATTTGTGGCTGGTGCACTCTATCCTGATGGAAATTTGGATCCCGTGCAAATTCGGGGTCGGTGCGTCTCTATCGTGGCGCAAATTTGGATCTGCTGCATCCCTGTCCTGGTGCAAATTTGCATCCCGTGTAAATTTGGGGCCGGTGCATCCCTGCCTCGGTGCAAATTTGGTTTCGGTGCGTCTCCGTCGGGGCACAAATCGGGATCCTCTGCACATCTGAGGTCGGCGTGTCCTTACCGCGGCGCGAATGTGGGTCCTGTGCGAATTTGGGGTCGGTGCATCCCCATGATGGTGCAAATCCGGCTTTGGCGCATCCCAAGCCTGGTGTAAATTTGGATCCCGTGCGAATTTGCCGTCGGCGCATCCCCATCCCATTCCACACCCAAACGGACGGTGGGATGGGGGCGGGGCGGCCCCTCCCTGGGGCCGTGGGCTATGTCTCGAGTGGGTCGTTCTCAGCAGGCGCTACGGGTGGGCGAGGAGTCCCGCTGCGTGTTCTGGGAGACGGTGGGCGCCAAAGGCCGCTGGATGACCTCGGGCTGCACCCGCGTGGGGGGTGACGCCCTCCGCTCCATCTGCGCCTGCACCCACTTCTCCACCTTCGCCATCCTCACGGCCACCCGTCCCATCGCGGTAAGATCCCGTTTGCCCCCTTAAAATACCCATTTTTGGGGGACGTTTTCTTCCTTCCCAACCGGTTACGCGTGGCCGCGCGTCGGCTGGGACTTGCGTGACGTCACGTGCGTGTGACGTCACCCACAGGAGAACTTCGTGCTGACAGTGGTGACCTACGTGGGGATGTCGGTGTCGCTGGTCTGCCTCTTCCTCGCCATCGTCACCTTCCTCCTGTGCCGCTCGCTCTGGAGTGTCAGCGTCACCCTCCACCTGCAGCTCAGCATCTGCCTCTTTGCTGCCGACCTCCTCTTCCTCGTGGCCGTGCCCCACACTGCCAACCGGGTATGGACTCCTTGGGACCTCCTTGAGCATCTTGGGACCTTCAGGGTCTCCTCAGGGGCCTCCTCGGGGTCTCCACAGGTTCCTCAGGGTCTCCACATGCTCCTCAGGGTCTCCTTGAGCATCTTGGAGCCTTCAGGGACTCCTCAGGGTCTCCTTGAGCCTCCTTGAGGTCTCCACACGCTCTTAGGGTCTCCTTGAGCATCTTGGAGCCTTCAGGGACTCCTCAGGGTCTCCTTGAGCCTTTTTGAGGTCTCCACAGGCCCCTCAGGTTTTCCCTGAGCATCTTGGAGTCTCCACAGGTTCCTCGGGGTCTCCACAGGCTCCTCAGGGTCTCCTTGAGCATTTTGGGGCCTTCAGGGTCTCCTTGAGCATCTTGGGGGTCTCCACAGGCTCCTCAGGTTCTCCTTGAGCGTCTTGGGGCCTTCAGGGGCTCCTCAGGAGCTACTTGAGCCTCCTCGAGGTCTCCACGTGCTCCTTAGGGTCTCCTCGAGCATCTTGGAGCCTTCAGGTGCTCCTCAGAGTCTCCTTGAGCATCTTGGGGCTACCAGGGGCTCCTTGGCATCTCATTTTGCTCCTCTGGGTCTCTACAAGATCTTTGGGGCCTCCTCAAGCTCCCCAAGGACCTCCTCGAGGAGGTCCTTGGGGAGTTTGTGGTGAAAAGGACCCAGGGTCGTGGCTCTTGGCTGTAGCTTCTACCCTAATGCCTCCACCGGTTCTTCTGCCGGGGGTCCCGTCTCATGGTGGGTGGGCACAAGCACCTGGCTGATGGGAGAACCGAGGTGGGAAGGTTTGGTCCAACCCCAACTCAAAGCAGGTCCAATCAGTTGAGGTTCTTCAAGGTCGTTGGTTCCCTTCTTGCTCCGGGTGGGTGTCGGCACCTGAATTACAGGATAACCGAGGTTGAACAAGATGTTTGGAGGTCTCCAGACCAACCCCAACCCAAAGCAAGTTCACCCAGTTGGGGTTCCTCAAGGCTCTCAGGTCCCTTCTTCCTCTGGGTAGGGGGGAGCCAACTGAATTATGGGATAGCTCAGCTTAGAAGAGACATTTGGATGTCTCCGGTCTACCCCCAGCTCAAAGCATCTCCACCTCCTTGAGGTTCCTTGAGGTCATGAGTGGGGTGTGTGGAACACAAGCATCTGAGATGCCACCACCTCCCCGGGCCACGCTGTGGTGATACTGGGGAGCCCAGTAACGGCCTTGGTGTCCCCCATCCAGTTGATGTGTGCCATCACGGCGGGCTTCCTCCACTACCTCTTCCTCGCTTGCTTCGCCTGGATGTTCCTGGAAGGTTTGCATCTCTTCCTCACCGTCAGGAACTTGCGTGTCCTCAACTACACCAGCGCCAGTCGCTTCAGGAAAAGATACATCTACCCCGTGGGTTACGGCACGCCGGCCATCGTGGTGGCCATCTCCGCCGGCATCCATCCTGGTGGTTACGGCACCGAGCGCTAGTGAGTCCCACCAACACCCAGGTTGGGGTCAACCAAGTAGGGTGGGATCCTCAATGGAGAACATCAAGAGTTTTGCCTAAATCATCCCCCAAAAAAAGACACCACGGCATCTAGGCGTGGATATTTTCCCGCCGCCGAAATCACCGAAAGGATTTTTTTGGGGGTAGATTTGCCTTTTTCTCCCTTTTTAGCTGCTGGCTGAGCACGAAGGGAGGCTTCATCTGGAGTTTCGTCGGTCCCATCTGTGTCGTCATCCTGGTGGGTGTCTCGCTGCCGAAAGGACGCAGAAACGGAAAAATTGGGAGGAAAAAAGAGCAAATTTAGCCTTACCTTAAAGAACAGTATTAAACAAACACCCCACGGGCCGGGTGTACTCGGGAAAGACCGCACCGTGGCACACGAATGATGATATTCTTTTTTTTTTTTGCGTTACTGGCCCCTTTTCCACCCCAAATTTACGCTTGTGCCCCCGGTTCTTCCCTCACAGACCCCACATTTTAGAGGAATTGGAGAGATTGGCATAAAAAGAGCAAATTCACACGTAGATTTAAAGACGGTCGTCAGCAAACACCCCACAGGCCGGGTGTGCACGGGGACGCGCACGCCACGGTGCGCGGTTTTGCACCGTTGACCTTTTTCTACCCCAAATCGACGTCCCCGCGGACGCTGGTTTGCAAAACGATGAATTATTTTTTTTTTTCGCGCTTTCTGCCCAGGTTAATTTGCTCTTTTTTCTCACCACCCTCTGGACTCTACGGGACAAACTCTCCTCCCTCAACGCCGATGTCACGGCCTTAAAAAACACCCGGTGGGTTTTCGCATTTGGAAACGCGTTTGAGGGGTTTTTTTAAGGGGGAGGAGGAGGAGGAAGAGGCACCTGGGATGGGGTTTTGGGTGAAAAAAGAGCGAAATGAGTGTTCGGGCAGGTTGATGACGTTCAAGGCGCTGGCGCACGTCTGTATCCTGGGCTGCACGTGGGGTCTGGGCTTGCTGCAGGCGGAGGGGGATGATGTAGTGGTGGCCTTCATCTTCACCATCGTCAACAGCCTACAAGGAGCCTTCATCTTCCTCGTGCATTGCGTCCTCAACCGGCAGGTACCGTGGGGGGAGGCGGGCACCCTGAGGTGCGGGAGGGGACGGGGACACTCAGGACGCGACTGTGGGTCCCGTCCACAGGTGACGGAGCAGTATCGGCGCTGGTTTAGGGCGCTGGGCAAACGAGCGCAACCCCACGAGATGCCCACCACCGAGATACATGTCACCTATGTCACGGTAACGGCACCCAAATGCCTGGGTCACTGCGGGGTGCTGGGTGGGCACCCCAATATCTGGGTCCTCTGGTTGCCACCAAAAGGAGGAGAGGGCCAGGGGTGGCACGGGGGAGGCTGCTTGGGACCTCTGGGTCCCCCCAGGGTGCTTGGGGGGGCTCGCAAGAAACCACCAGAACCTCTGCCCCATTTCTGCCCCATTTCTGCCCCATTTTGTCCTCGTTTCACCCCCCAGGAAGTGGAGAAGCCCCAAAGCCACAGCACCGAGGGCTGCACGTGGGAGAAATGACAGCGGGTGCCCCCCGGGACCGACCCATTTCCGACACATCCGACCCATTTCCAGCACTTTTCCTGCCGATCCAACCCATTTTCCCACTTTTCCTGCCGATGTGACCCGTTTCCAGCCTTTCTTTTCCTGTAGAACAACCTGGGGTTTACCATTTTTCCCCACATGTCCGAACTCTTTTCCAGAATTTTCCCACAGAACAACCCGTTTACCGCATTTTTCCCCACATATCTGCCCCATTTTCCAGAACTTTCCCCAAGAAACGACCAATTTCCAGCATTTTTCCCCCTAGAATTCAATCCGTATCTAGCTGCTTCCCTCCAGGATTGAACAATTTCCAGCATTTTTCTCCAAAGCGACCATTTTCCAGCAATTTTTCCAGCATTTCCCCCAAAGAACAACCCATTTCCACCATTTTGCTGCAGAATGACCCGTTTCCAGCATTTTTCCTGCAGGTTTGACTCATTTCCAGCATTTTCTCCAAGAAATAACCAATTTTCAGCTCTTTCCTCCAGGACTGAGCCACCTTTCCATGGAACGACCCATTTCCAGCATTTTTTCCTGCAGTTTTGACCCATTTCCAGCATTTTTTCCTGCAGATTTGACCCATTTCCCCCAAGAAGCGACCAGTTTCCATCATTTTTCCACGGAACATCCCATTTCTGGCATTTCCCCCCCCAATATTTGACCCGTTTCCAGCATTTTCTCTAAGGATCCGACTAACTTTCAGCATTTCCCCCCCCCCAATATTTGACCTCTTTCCAGCATTTTTCCACAGAACACCCCATTTCCAGCATTTTTCCAGCAGTTTTGCCCCGTTTTTCCGGCTCCTTCCCTCCACAACGGCCCCATTTCCAGCATTTTCCTGTGGAATGACCTGTTTCTGGCGTGTTTTCCCCTGGGATCGCTTCGTTTCCCGCCTTTTCTGACCACCTTCGCCCCATA